AATAGCGTCGGGCCAAGAACCGATCCCAGTGAGCCCCTATTAGAGACACACCCATTCGATGATGATTCCCTCTTTACCATTACATTTTTAAACCTATCAGTTAGCCAGCTTTTAAACCAGTTAATATGTGCCATGTTAATTTTATATTATTCTAGTTTTTTAATCAAAATGTCATGTGGTTACCATGTCAGATGGCTTAGAGAAGTCTATTTATATCAGCACTATTCCCTTAATCAATCAAACTTCCAATCTCATCAGTAAAAACAGTTTAATAGAGGGGGCATGTCCCTAGCGGGGCTGCTGCTTCTGGGAGGAGTGTTTCAAAGTCAGCAACATTTTGGGAGCTCCAGTTCAGCCTGGTGAGCCTGTCAGGTGGTGAGCCTATCCCATTGCACGTAGCAGCAGAGAGGTTGTGTGGGTAAAAATACTTCTGAAGAGCTATTTTACCCTTTGTAATAGACAAGTTGGCACTAAATACCAAGTAGTTTCTAAACATGTCCCCATGGGAGGATATCTCCTTCCCCCTTCCATGATCTTCACTTGCTAATTGAATAGTGGGCCATACTAATCAAATGAGCACAGTCTATTTTCCAGGAACAGTTATAACCGTTTTTGCTAGTGAACTTAATGTAACTTCCTTTGACAAGTCCTGTTACTGCCTCCCTCCTTGACTATGGGTCTGAGAAAGCATTTTTGTTTAAATGAGGGAGGGGGAGTAGTAGATTCACCCCTCTGCAAGAACGTATCCCCGTCTCCACCCCTGGAAACATGGAGTTTATCCCAAGCTGAAGGGCAAGAGAAATGCAGGAGTTTCTTGTTAAAACATCATCAACATATCACTGTCAGATATTAATCTCACACTTTGCAAGATATACATGTGAGACATGCCCATTCTGTGCATTGCTATCATGCACTTCCCTAACTCTCATGCTAGGTTACTTGGTTTTTTTAAGGCGCCCCCCCTCCCTTTTTTGGGAGAAACTGAATGAAGCAACGGTAGCTTTCTTCTGCTTTGAAAACAGAGTATGTTCTTGGACTGTATTGAGCCCTTGTAATCCAGGCACTGGGAGTCAGAACCTTTTCCAGAGCTGGATTACTCTGTTTTATGGGCTGCCAAATGTCTCTAAATGTCAAAAACTCCTAAGGAAAATGTGTCGTGCAGAGCATGGCACATACATAAGTTTATTGCTCAACTTGAGGCATCTCCCATTAATTTTCTGCAATTTTTTTTCCCATATTTTCCAAACTGTGGAATAATCAACATTTGCCTGAAGGCAAAGGGCACCCAGGGTAAAAGGCCAGGTAGTGCGATAGTACCATTTATTTTGTGAGGGGGTGGAGAGTGTTGGCATTTCATCCCACTGAACTGGTCTGTCTCTCGGAGAGTTTGGATCATATAACAGCAGCAAGGATCTTTGCTGACAGATTTTTGGGGAGTAAAGTAACACAAAGCTGCTCCTGTGAGCATGCCTAGGAGGGTCATATGAGCTGTGAAGAAAGGAAATAATTGTGTAAAAGGGGGCATAAAAGGAAATCCATTCCCAGGGCAGAAGTCCCATGGACGTGTAAAGCTTTCACGGATAAACAGGAGCTGAAATCTTTGGTCACTCACCTGAAGAGATAGCGATTCCCTCTGACTTGCATAGTAATATGGAGTGTTGGGGTTTGGGGCAAGGGGGAAGAGAACACTGTAGCTGGGCATAAAGTTATTGCAATGAAATAAGCAACGCTTCTGAGGGCACAAGGCTGGCAGGAAGGTCATTTCAACAGAGACTGCAATGGTTTGGGCAGTTTGTTCCCACATTTAGGTGCTTGTCTGAGTTTCAAAGGTGCTGAGCTCCTGACTTCCAGGGGAGCTACAGATACTCTGAACCTTTGTAAATTAGGCTGCTATTGTTTCCTAGCTATGCAGACAGCTCCCTTTTAACCCTATTCCCATTGGACTTCTGTGCTGTAGTGATATTCTTCTTGAGCACAGACTGGCTACACGTGATAATTCTGCCTCACAGGCTTGGTTTCTAGGGTCTAATGGACCAAGTAGGTAAGTGAAACACAAGCAAAGCAACTAAAATTAGAAGAGCAGCTAGCAAGTGGAGAACAAACCCTTTACTAGATGGGCTTTTTTACAATCTGAAGTCATTCCCTCTTGGTCACCACGTGACCTACTGCCTGCTCAGGAGTGAGATTTAAAGCCTTTGAAAATTCTGCTCATATCAGGAAACTTTTTTTATCCCACAAGCCCTTCACATTCCAGGTCTGCTGGTGACTTTGTGACTGACTCTGGTATCACATCACCAGAGGAGGGAATCCCACACATTCCGGAATGGGACAGAAGCCGAGTGAGTTGTGGAAATGTAGCTGGATATCAGGACAGCCTTCTTACTGGTGGGATCCTATTAAGCTGTGAGATAATCTTCTGAAGGGAAGCACTAGAAGCCTCATAACTTGGCTCATTTAAAATGACTGCAGGTTGGATAAAGTGCTTGGGAATGTACTGTCAGGAACATCTGTGCATTAGTCAGGGGGCATTGACTAGGTGATGGAATGGGTCTGTGAGTTTGTGGGCATTTCTCTTCTGCTGAGAACAGCAGAAAAATGAGCACGAGGGGAAACTGTGCACTTTGTATGCAACAAAATCTTGGTGCCTGGTTAGCATGCACCTTGCTAGTAGCAAAATGGAAACAGATGGTACATGTTTTGATGTGCAGATATTCCAACTTGAAGACATGGCTGTTCAAAGCCTTACACAGGGAGTTCTGCTTGAAAATCCCATTATTTGTAATAATTTCTAACAGGATTTGTGCTTTCAATTCTTTCCCCCCACCATCTCCCTATGCATCACTTTGAAAATGCCTTTCACAGTCTCAGCCACTTTCATTAATACCCAAGTCATTTTATATTCCTCTGTTGTGTGTGTTTGACTGATTTGAACTTTATAAAGAAGCAGCACCCTCTCCCTTAAGCCCTCCAGTTTAAATGTTCAAAAGGGAAACAACTCTTTGCTACTGTGAATCAACTCTGAGGTGGATTTAGTTATAGAGTTTTGAAGTATACGTGGTATTTTTGAGCCTAGCACTCGGGTGGCAGGTGCCTTTGGAAAAAACAAACATCATCATTTGTCAGGCTAGCTGTGTGGGAATACGCTGATACATTCGAGGCTGTAAATCAGGTACCCAGCTACCTGTGCTATATATGCCTGTGTAACTGTAGGGCTGTTTTCTATCTTACTGCACCTTTAAAAGTAAAGGAGGCCTCCTAGCCTGTCTCAGACATTCCCTGAGAGTTATCCCAAGATGACAAACATTATTATCATTATGTATGTTACTGTAATACCTAGGAGCACTTGTCCTGGAACAGGACGCCATTGTACTAGACACTGTACAACCACAAAAGTAGATGATCTTTGCCCCAAAGAGTTTACCAGCTAAGTAATGACAGGTTTCAGAGTAGCAGCCATGTTAGTCTGTATTCGCAAAAAGAAAAGGAGTACTTGTGGCACCTTAGAGACTAACAAATTTATTTGAGCATAAGTTTTCGTGAGCTACAGCTCACTTCATCGGATGCATCACTGAATGCATCCGATGAAGTGAGCTGTAGCTCACAAAAGCCTATGCTCAAATAAATTTGTTAGTCTCTAATCTAAGTAATGTTACAGAGTGAGTCTCTCACACACTGTACTCTCTCATGGAGACGACATATTAGTTCTTTATCTGTTTTCCTTTTCCCCTTCAGTCTAAAATAAGTCCTCCAAACTGCAAGTACATGTTTGATGTTTGTCTGTGGAAAAACATACCTGACACATAGCTCTTACAGCTCTGTTGAGACCTAGAGGGCCAAATGTGTAGAAATGGAGACCTGATCTCTGTGTGCAAGGAATGTAGAGTGAGAAGAGCCATTGATATTAACAGCACAAAACATGGATTAACCGAATGTCAAGGGGGAGCCTTGAGTAAGTTTGGTTAATTGAATAGTCAAGGATATTTTCAATGTCATAACGGATGGTCAGATCATTGTAACAAATCCCATGTGGTAGAGGCAACAGAGTTGTTATATCCGCGTCAGTCCCGGGATATTAGAGAGACAAGTTGGGTGAGGTTATATTGGTATATGTAAAAGATATCACCTCACCCACCGTGTCTCTCTAGAGACAACAGGTGCATGTATTATATAAATCGCTCACACATGAGGAGCTAGGACAACCCCTTCAGCTCCAAAACCACAAGCCTCAACCACTTGAGCGAAAAGAGCCTGCTGATAGCTAGGAGCAGTAGCAGGCCCCTTAACCTTCTGTGGCCCAGATACCAGGAGGCACCATTCTTTATTCACTCAGTCTCACACACTGTCACGTAACTCAACATGACTCCGTCTGGGGTAAACTGAAGTTCAGATAATCAGGGCTGAGCTGTCAAAACTCTCATCCCAAATCCAGTTTTTTTTACCTGTTAAACTATCAGTCAGCTGCACTCAGCTAAAGAGGCAGACTTTGCTTTTACAGGGGGAGTTTTATGCAGTGATAAAACAGGGAGCCTTCTGGCCCACCTCCCAACATTCATGTCCAGGAAACTGTGGAGTACATTTTATCTCACCATACAAGGTAAGAAACCAGCATTGACTGTAACGGGTCTCTTCACTCTCTGCACAGGCCCTTCATGCTTCTGCCCCCGCTGATGGAGTGGATGCGAGTGGCTATCACCTACGCTGAGCATCGGCGCAGTTTAACTGTGGACAGCGATGATATCAGGCAGACGGCCAGGCTGCTCTTACCAGGACTGGACTGCGAACCACGGCAGCTGAAGTATGTGGACTTATCTTTACAGTCAGTTATAATAATCTTAGCACTTTGCCCTTCTGTATCACCTTCCATTGGAGGATGTTCTCAAAGCACTTTATAAACATCACTGAATTTAGCCTCACAGCACTCCTGTGAGCTAAGGAAGTTTTAGCCTGATTTTACAGATCGGGCACAGAGAGATTGTGATTTGCCCTCTGTCATGCACACAGTCTGCAGCAGAGGCAGGCTAAGAATATAAGTAGACTGATTCCCAGGCCCAAGTGTTAACCACAAGATCATCCTTTGCCTCTTTAAATACCCTGGTGAAGAGCCTAAGTCTAAAATGTTAGACTTAGAGAGCCTTCCTCCACACATGGATTACTCATAATTTTATAGTAAGCTGGGGCCGCTAGTACTCATTTGTGTTTCAATGATTGTCTATGTTCTGCTAAATTTACTGGTGTTAGCACTGATTTTGGTATTGTGAAACTGCTTTGTGGAACCCCAGCTAGAAATGTACACATTAGTGCAAAGTGAATTTTTCCTCCTCAAATTAATCCTGCTGCATTTAATTAATGGTGACCTTGCAGTGGACATATAAACAATAATAAATGATATTTTTAACATTGTAAGGAAAAAAATGTACTGTTACTTTTTAGGTCTTTTGTGCGAAGAAGGGAGGTGGATCTAGTGGTTGCAGCAAGGGGTTTTTAGTCAGGATTTCTGGGTTCTAGTCTTAGCTTTTCTCCTGATTCTCTGTGTGGCGTAGGAGCAGTTACTTCACTTTCCTGTGCCTCAATATTTACCACAAAAGGTTGAAATAAACAATGTAAAAGGCTCTGAGGTTCTGAGATGGCACTGTAGAAGGGCAAACTATCAGCATTCTCTCTTGCTCGTTTCAGTAGTTCTCCTTTCAATCTTAGTTTCATAGTTCTTTTTTCAATCTTTCCTCTAGATTGAATGAACTGTTCAAAACTCAGGCTTCCCACTTCAAAGGTATCCTGTGCTGTTTTAATCTCCACAGGTTTTTGTAAATTCAATAGAGAGATATTGTATATGAAACACAAATGGCTCCTTAATTTCTAGGTTACATGTAGAAAAAAGAGGAAAGGGTTTTTCAGGTTCTGTTTCAGAAGTGTATTGATATAAATTAAAGGGAAATTCCTAGACAAAAAGTTTGCTAAGGTAGAATTAAGGCTGAGAGTACATACTGATAAACTACAAAGCCACCTTTAGAAACCCAGGCAATCCAGATACTCTCATATGAATGAATGGGGTGAGGGGGAGGAAAGAGGACAGGGATTCAGCCACAGCATGTGGAATATACAGGAATTCAGTTCTGTATTCTGATTGTTGAGAGGGGAGTTTCAAAACTGGCTCTTGGAAGGAGTCTGATGAAGGTTTCTATCCATGTTGTTCTGATTACAGGGGAAAAGAAAAAATCTGTAAGAAATACCAAGTGCTTTTTTCCTTCCCACACCCATATATTTTCTCCTGCCGTTCACCAAAATATACCATACCATAAATCTTTCTTTGCAACCAAGGCAGCTTTTGCATCAAATAATGCACATCGTGTTTGCAGCAGAAGGCAGAAATCACAAGTCAGAATTGAACTTCATAAACGGTTTGTTCTGACCCTTCTTTTCTAAGCTGTTATCCCAAAGGCCCTAAGTATTCCCTATGATGGGGTTTTTGGAGGTGGGAACATTGACTGTGCTGCGTGAAAAAAGTGTTGAAAAGAGGGAGGTGTCCCTATTGTAGTGCCAATGACATGACCCTCTCACTTACAGGAAGCAATTGTGTCTAGTGATTAGAGCAAGTGACAGAGAGTCAGGACTCTTGGGTTCTATTCCCAGCTGTACCTCTGGCTTACTGTGTGATCATAGGCAAATCACAACTGCTCTGTCCCTCCATTGCATCGTCTACAAAGTATAATGATAATTCGCACTTCGCAGGAGGATTCTGTCACTTGGGGGGGATTTATGGATGAAAGGCGGTGTAGAAGGGTAAGTGCTGCTGTTATAATGACCTCTGTCCTAAAACTTTATCTATCTATCTTCTGATAAAGATTTCTTAGACAAATAGTTCTCCACACCTGTTTGTTTGAGAGACAGTGACTATAAGATTTTCAATCCAATGCTCTCAGTGTATCATTTCAAAAAGTGATCTATAAACATCATCACTCCTCACCCTGACCTTACCTGCTTAAATGGACACCATCAACTTAAAACCACTCAGCTATCTGAGATAGCCTCACCTATTGTTACAAGCATAGCTAAGATCACTGTAACCCAGAGAGATGAGAGCCAAAGGTATTTCTCTATTTTTCTAGATGGCTCACTTGGTGTATTTGACAGCAGTCTGTGTGTAGTCAGTTTCACTATTTCTGTGGCATTGGTTAATGAGTTTCCCCTTGTTTTGCACAGAGCACTTACTTTGAAACTAGGACAATGTGACTGCAGAGCCAAACAAATGAACAGAGTAAGGTCGCAGCTCAAGGGCAGGCACAGCACCTGAAAATACATTTAACTCATTTACTGAAATTCACTAGACTTCAAGTTGACAGAAGCTAATTGTTCTCAGGGGAACATAGGAATCTAGTATCATAATAATAACATTTATCATAGCAGTGTGGTCTGCTTGTCCATCTAATCACTTACCCTACCTCCAGGATTGACTGTTTATCCACCTATGGCCTCTAACAGTGGTCATTGGTCCTTCGCCTGTTACCTTACCTCTGGCAGTAGCTATTGGCCTGTCTACTGCATTCATCTTTGTCTAGTGCCTGATGATTCAGACAGTTCACTCCTCCATAGACACCTTTTCACTGACCTGCCCTAATAACGACAATCTAATACATGAAAAATCTCTCACAATAACAAAATTCCAAGACTGTAGTGTTACCTTCCTACTGAATTTTTCCTAGGAAATACTTAGACATTAGCTCCTTTCTGAAGGATGGTGTTCTGCCCTGGGCATAGTTGACACTTCTCTGGATAGCCCCTGGACACTTGCATAGCCTGTGAAGCACCTGTCCCACTTGCTAGGAGCATGAGATTTGAGGTGGTTTTCAAGTGTAAGTCCCTGCATTGTGGGGTGAAGTTGGGACCTACTGAACCCATCTAGTCATAGCTGCAGTGTGGTTTTCCGTCCACAATGGGGAGAAACACCATTGTAGGTGGCACCTGCTCAGCTGGGCCTGAGCTGAAGGCCTTGTCCCAGGTACTGCAAACCAACACCTGTAAAATGAAAGGGATGGCTGGAAAATGCTGTTGCATGGCTTTGTACAGGCAATACAAGTGCAAGGTATTCCAACCAAGTGGGTGTTGTAACACCTTTTCACCTAGTGTAGGCAAGTTCTTAGTAAGAACTAAACGGGCAAGCGCTTGCAGTGTATTAGCCCAAGAAGCCATTCTGTGTGGTCCTGGGCAACTTCTTGATAGTGTCTAGTCTTAAACCAAAACAATCTTCCTACTTAGCTCCACTGGATAGAGGCTCACATTGGACTCTCACCTAGTGTACCTCATGCTTGTAGATCACCAAAGTCCTCATATGAGTTTTGGCTGTGGTATTGTGCTGGACTCCCACGTACAATTAGGCCAGCCACTAGATGGGTGAAGGACTTTGCTAACTGGACAAGTCTGTTGTGGCATCTGGTCACAATTTGTCATCAGCCTGCAAAGACAAGAGTATGAAAAGTTACCAGATAAGTTTGAGACCCTGAGTAAGTTTCATGCACAGCCTTCTAAAACCATGAATGCATTACTTCTCTGGCAGCCCACGCAAAGTTTCAAAAGAGGTTAAAATATGTTGAGGTTGTCTAATTTTTCAAAGGAAGTTGGCAGCCAAATACTGCAGCAGCTGGGAGTTTGTGCAAGAGCCCGTGTCAGGACAGGCTGCCAGTGGAGAAGGCAGCAAATGAAATCACACAATGTGGGTGACCATGTCAAGGTTCAGTTGAGATAGGAAATGCCTACAACTTGGTGATGTTCCTTCAGTGCACAAGAGAGGCTCCTAGCCTCAGAATTCAGATGTCTCTCAAAAGATAAGTCTGGAGATTTACAATAATCTCCAGACTCCTTTATCTTTGTTTAGAAGCAGATAGCTTGGTAGCTGTCAAGAGGATGAGAATGGAAGGAAAGGAGCCTAATATAAATATAGCCCAGGAGTAAGTTTGCTTTTATTGGGGTGGATCTGAGAATGGTCTGCCACCCAAAAGAAGATATGGACAATCTTCATTATAATGCAGGGATGAAAAAATGTGGGAGTAAGGTGATAAAAGATCATGATAAGCAAAATCTTATTTGGGAATAGTAGCCAGGCTCTTACATAGAGCCATAATGATTATTTAATCATGGAACTATATTTGTACTTTTTATTTCAACAGAGTTCTTCTCCCTCTCTTTCTCTGAATATGATTTCATATACATTTGATGCATTACAATTATATAACAAACATTTCTGCAGGCAAAATAGAAAAGCCCAATAATGGAGCATAAAGCCATCTGGAGAAGCAGTACTATAACTAATTGCTTATTTAAAACACAAACCCTCCTGAAATGATTGCTGCACTTTTTGGCCTTTGTCCTCAACAGACCTGAATGCTGTTTTAGCTCCTTCCGAAGACTGGATGCTAAGGCTGCTACTGAAAAATTCCAGCAGGACCTGGGTTTCCGAATGTTAAATTGTGGAAGGACTGATCTAATCAACCAAGCTATAGAGGCACTGGGACCTGATGGGGTTAACACAATGGATGATCAGGTATATGAGAAGACCCTGAGAAAGTTTTCCTGCATGAGCAAATTCAATATTTTTTGTAGAGGCAAATCAATGCATGATGACTCAGGTATTTTTCTCAAGTTCTAGCTTGAGTTAGCCTGTGAACTCTTAAAGAGAATTGTTTCTACATCGCTTGGTGAGCAGCTGCATTCCCTGGAATGCTCTATGGCATGTCTCCAGCAGAAATGGAGGATAGATTAGTATTCAGGATATATAATAGGAAAGCTAGATTTTGTTTTGCACCTAAATGTTTGCAAAATTAAGATACCTACATGCTTGCTGCCAGTGGCTAGTTCTCCAGTTGAAATTCAGGCCAGGTCAATGAGGAGTGACCAAAAGGTGTTACTATCTGATGGCTTTTGGGTGACCTGTATGAACTGAGTTAGATGCTGCTCTTAAAGCCCCAGTTGGAACCCTCTACAGAGAGGCCAAGAAGAGCTCAGCAGGCAGATGACTTCTCTATCCTTTCACTTCTGAAGTGGTCTCTTCAGATCTGAGTTGAGGCACATGAGCCAAATAGCCTGGAACTGCCCATACTGACTCTGTCCCAATGATTAACAGTGGACTTCCGTACAGGGCACCTTTCCTTGCACTGAATTTACTTTGAATTAAAAAATTACTTTGAGATGACAGTACAATAGTTGTGGCAATGAGCAGGAGCTGCTTCTATTCGGGGACAGCAAGATACCTATTAGGAGTGGAAAGGTTGACAAACATATTAAGGCCCAGCTTGACAAAGCCCTGGCTGGGATGATTTAGTTGGGGTTGGTTCTGCTTTGAGCAGGGGGTTAGAGTAGATGACCTCCTGAGATCTCTTCCAACCCTAATCTTCTATGATTGTATAATATCTATAGTGCTGCACATCATTGCAGGCTTGCAGACTATATTTTAAAATAGACCCACCTTCACAAATGCACATACACCTATTGCTTCTGGAGTGGGGGAGAGGGGGGGAAATTGCCTGTAAGTGTGCAAACAAGCATTGTCCATGCAAGGTGGTTGTGCACAGGTGAGTTATTAGATGCACAATGACCTGATTTACATAGGCTTTGTGGGCATAGGGGCAACAGCACACATTTGTGGGGCAGCCTGGAGGAAGACTAGCGCCACTTTTAAAACAATACAGCTGGCTCCAGTCTGTTTTGTTTCATGAAAATCTGCCACTTGGGGGGTTTTTTCCCTCACATTTTTGTGGTTTCAGGATATAAAGCCCAGAGGACTTTTGTTCTTTCAAAACAAATCTTTGATATTTTTTGCCTCTGATGCTTTGTTCAGTGACCTGCTGATTTATTTACCCTCACACCAAAGAAATCACAGCGCAGAGCCAATTGCCAATTTTTTTCCCTTCAGCCAGACAGAGGGTGGGGGGTTGTTTTTCAGCCAAACTCTGCACTTTGATGGTTTTTGCTGACAGCACAAGCTAAGGGGTTTAAAACTTTGTAAACAGTTGATATCATAGTCTCATTATCACCCGATTGATGTCATATTGTAGCCAATCCTACTGGAGGATTTCATTGAATTAGTGTTAAGGATTGCTGTACTGGTGTTTACTTTGCATGTCCTCAACAGAGGACACCTCTCCCAAATTTACAGCCCAGCATCCTAGCATCTTATTGACTAAGGAGGCTTGGAGGAGGATGTCTAGGGAGACACTGCTGTTCTGTGATTAGCCACTTGTATCACTGTGAAACAATGCAAGACGATTCTCTTCTTTCAGAGTCCCAGGGTCTGAGCATGCTTTCTCTGCTGCATTACCAACTAAGGATGGGGTTAAATCAAAACCCTAGATGTCAACTCTACCATATGTGGGATCTGAATCCAGACCTGAACTTTGCAGCTGGCACCTGTTTCTGTAATGGGATGTGCCAGAGCCAGCATGCCTATGGAAAACTGACTTAAGGCCTGGAAACAGAACCCAGGTCTATTGGACAGCAGAGTGGAGCATTAACCAAAGTGATACCTAGCCAGCCCAGCTGATACATTCATATTAGACTTACCCTGGCTAAAGGAAATCATTCTTAAAATGCTACACAATAGGCAGGAATCTCTGAGTCATTACTGGCAGGTGTGACTGCCCCACTCATGGCGAGCAGAGCTGGACAAAACTTTCCTGGTAAGGGCCACCCAATCAGATGGAAGTGAGATAGCCGCTGGCCCCACCATTCAGAACCAGTTTCAGATTTTGAAGGTGTTTGTCTGAAGTGTTTGTTCAGACCCAGCTCTAGTCATAGCCTCAATACTCAGAGTAGGGTTACTGAGGTTTGAGCTTGGAGCAATGTCTTGGGCTGATTTATGGTTTCCAATGGATGCCATTTGCTACTCATTGGTTTCATATGGTTTTGTGGGGAAAAAATAAAACTCAGAGGTTTGGGGTGAGTTTCCTTTTGAGTTCTTGGTTTTTATCTGAACCTGAAATGCAGATTAAAACTTGTGGGGAGGGGAGTGCAAAAGGCCCATGACTCAAATGGAAAGATGGAGTTATACAAACCCCTTAGAATTGAACCCCTGAGTTTGGCAGGGCTCTAGTTACAAATAGAGATGGCCCAGAACCTAAACCACAGCTCTAACTCTGAATCTACAGCTGAATTTCCTACCCTTGTCATGTGCCTGCATCAAAGCCAAACCCCAGCTCCAAGCATTCCCAGAGAAGGCAGTTCCAGCTTCGGATCAGAACTGTCCCAGGTCTGGGGGCATTCAGATTCTGGCCTTTTCAGAGAGAAGCTTGAGCAGCATGTGTGGGATCCAAACTCCACACCCGGCATTTGGATCCAGGGTTTGATTCAGGCCCCTTTGTAAGAATGAGGCTAGATTATTGTTTGATTAGTGCAGACATGCCCCTTTGTGAAAAATTCAAACAAATAAAATAAAATTTAAAAAACCCAGATAATGAAAAGTGAAAGAACCTGAGACGTGAGCTTCAGTCTATTTCATCATGAAAGCATTTTGGCCATTTACTTGGCTTGGCTATTTCTGGAGTGATTTGTTTGTAAATACGGCCAGTCTAGCTCATGAGTAATCTCTGGCTGGTCATTGTTTAAACAGAGAGAAAGCAAGAGAGAGAGATTTTATGGGTAGAAATATTCTGTCAGTGCTGAAATACTTTAACAAATATTGTTTTGCCAATGGAGATCGTATTTGCCAAGTAAACTTCTCTGTGTTTGTTTCTGCTTAAGTTCCCCTGGCCAAGGAGGATGCAAGGAGCTCTATTCCTTTCCTGCAGCCTTAGGAAAGGGGCTGCCTCTAAAAACATGGCTCAGTGCAAAGTTTAGGATTTTAAATAACTCATTTAAAATGACTGCTAGCTCATCTGCTATTTATTCAATGTAGGACATGTCATATTCCTATTTTAATGTCTTGATTTCCCCCGCAGCACGCAGAAATCACAAATGCATATACATCCCCTGTGCACACACGCACACATTGTATGTACATCACACACTGCACATTATTTATATATATATTATAAATATACACACACACACACCTATATTGCAGACCCAGTTCCATCAGCCCCTTTGGCTGATGGACTCTCTCCTGTGAGGCCCATAGATACAGGCTAACTGTTGCTGACTTTTCTTCCTGAAGGGCGTGACCCCGCTAATGTATGCCTGTGCTGCTGGAGATGAAGCCATGGTCCAGATGCTGATTGATGCTGGAGCAAATTTGGATATACCAGTAAGTAAGAGCCAAAACCAGAAAACCTGCTCATCTTTGACTTGTAAATAAGCAGGATCAGTTATGAAATCGCTCCCGGCAACCAAAAGCTCCAGCTTGTGGAGTATGTACACCAGACTTACTTTCAGAGCTCATTGTTTCAAGGTTTTGGGAGAAATAAAGCCCAAAGCCCCTTGGAGTGCGCAGTGGCTGAAATAATGATTGACACAGGGAGCAA